GCCCCCCACCCCGACGGCGCTGCTCTTCCCAGTCCGGACCCCTGGCCCCCTCCATCTGCACAGCAGTCCAAGCCCTCCCCGAGGCCGCCTCACACCCTCCTCCGTAATCTGCCTCCCTCCACGAGGACACTTGTGCTTGCTCAGGTAATCTCCGCCTCGAGACCCTGGATGACGGGCTGCCAGCACCCACCACGCAGGAGACAGCCATGGGCTCGCAAAAGCCGATGTGACATCTGGGGGCCGTCATCTGGCCCCGGGCAGCCAGTCAGGAAGGGGGTCCCCTCTGGGGCAGCTGCCCAGCTTGCCAGCTGTGGCCTCGGACAAGTGCCCTCTCTGACCTGCCGTTTCCTCGCCTGTGAAGCGTGACCCAGAGCTCCTCACAAGACCCACAGCCTTTAACTGGGAGCCTGAGAGCAGCCCTGAGGGCCTCTCTTCAGGAGGGAGCCAGGAAGAGGGCGGGTGGGGGATGCGCGCGCCCCTCTGCGCGGCTGATGGGGGCCTGTGTTGGTTTTCACCTCCTTTTCATTTCCAGTTTACATACCACAAAATCCGCCCTCTTGGGGAGCAAGAGGCAGGGGTTCCCAGCATATTCGCAAGGTCGTGGCACTATCGCCAGATTCCAGGCCATTTTCTTTACCCCGTAAGGTCCCAGGCCAGCGGCAGCCGAGTGGCGGCCCGCGCCGGGTGGGACGTCCGGACGCGCCCTCCTCCATCTGGGCCTGCGGCCAGGAAGACGGCAGCGTCCTGGGCCACAAGCTGCACGGGGAAGCGTGGGGTGCATCAGGCCACTCAGTTCCGGTCACTCCAGCGCCTCCTCCCCAGCGCGGACTTGTACCGACCGGCCAGGGGCCAGCAGCTCCCCAGCTCCTCAGGGCTCCCCGAGTCCTGGGGCTACTGAAGGAAAGTGGGGGCATCTGACTGACCCCCAGAGTGGCCAGAAGAGGGGCCTTCTTTAGGCTCTCCTGCCGACCCCACTCAGTGAGGCGAGGGACACACGGGCTTCTCCGGTGCCCCTCCCTCCTGCACCCCACTGCCTCGGCCTTCCTGGCCACCTGAGTGTCCCAGGCCCCACAGTCAGCACTGTCTGGCCAGCCAGATGCGGGAAAGGCATCGGGGTGGGGGAGACACAGTCAGGACAGTGAGGGGAGGGGCAGCCCCTGGCAGTGACAGGACTGCCCTAGCAGCCGAGCAGGCACGTGTCATCGACCCGCAGCCACCGGCCAGGGGAGGGGCGGCCGCTGCCCAACGGCCTGCCCACTGGAGCCTGCCCCCTTCTCGTCAGGCCACTGGCCTTCCCGCACCTGCCCTCCCAGGCCTGCCTGTCCTCTGGAGCAGCGACGCATCTGTCTCAATTTTCACAAATGAAAATGGGTCACGTACTCATTCGAGATCACTGTTTAGGAGAAAGCCAGTGTCTTCTTCCAGCGAGAGCAGCACCCCAGGTTCCAGGAATCTCCAGAAAAGGGAAAGGTCATTCGTTCTTTAAACAAATGGCTCTTCTCTAGGAGTCAGACGCAGAGAGGGACAAGGAGACCCTCCCTGGTGGCGCAAAGGGTCAAGGTGCAGCACTGTGAACCTCTCTGCAGCCCCTGCAGCATGAGTTCGATCCCCAGCCAGAGAGTGACCCCCAGGGCGCGGCAGACCTCTCCTGACCCGCCCGCTGCTCCCCTCAACAGTGGACTTCGTCGCTCTGCCTGTTCTGCTCCCCGCTCTGGCTCTGGTGAAGCCTCTCACCCCGTGCCCCTGGCCTGTACCCCAGTTCTGTATGCGTAAATAAATAAATCTTTAAAAAGGAGAGAGAGACAGGAAGAGGCTGGGAACATTCTGGAAGCTCAGATCCTGGGGGTGGGGTGGAGAATAAATGGGTTGGCGGGGGAGGGGGTTTAGGAATGGCTTCCTGGAGGAGGCGGCAAAGACAGGGGAGGGATCTTGAGATGGAGAAGGAGAACAGTTTCTGAGGTGGGAGTTGGCATCAGCAGGGGTCGGGCGGGGGGTGGGCTGGGCTTGGCCAGGAACGAGGCTGGCAGGTACCTTCAGGCAGATTGCCCGCGTGAGCCTGGCACATCACGGGAGCCGGACATGTCTTGGAAGAATAAGGGGTCTCAACGCCCGGGTGCAGGGCTGAGGGCCAAGCCTCCCCCCAGGGCCGGGAGCCGCTCCCACCTGACCGCGCCCAGTTTTCCAGCTGCTGAGAAGCCTGCTGTCCCTACAATTGTCTTGGGGCCTTTGTGGAAGCAAATTGACCATAACTAAGGTACTGCAGGGGAGGAGAGTGACAGGTCAGATCTGTGGAAATGGAATATCAATTTGGTGGCAAAGGCTGGATCGGCTGAGAGGCGGCGTGTGGGCGGGGCCAGCTCGGGAAGACTGGACGGCAGGCGGGGCGGTGGGGAGAAAAGCCTCGCCCCGGTCAGTTGCGCCAGTGGTGGAAGCCGGGGCGCACACGGGGGAACTGGGACCCCAGATGGGCTCCCATTGGAACAAGGCTCACAGAAGGAAAACCCACTCCCGGCCCTCAAGTTCTGCAAAATGGCCAGATTAGACACTCACCAGACAGCCGTTGCAAGCAGGATTCCAGGTACCGAGAGGATCGGCAATGCAAAACAAGGCCAATTACAGAAGCATTAGCCTGGATTATGCAGCTTCCAGGAGCAGTTCATACCTCCAGGCATGCTGTGCCCTGAAATTTCCAGAGGCGGCCTGGGATCCCAGCAGCCGGGCTGCCTGAAGCTGGCTTTCTGGGGTTGCTAGCTGGGCCCCTCCCACCTCGGCCGGCCTGCCTCTACCCCCAATGAGATAGACCACTGGGAAAGGGGGTGCCCACCCCACCCTAAGTAGCTCTGTCCAAGCCAGGTGAGACCCACAGGCCATCTCCGAGGGAGGCTCCCTGTGGTTCCCTGGGGCAGAGACTGTCTCCGCGTCTCCTCCTGGCCTCTGTTCCCTGGAGGCCCCGGAGCTGGCCCAGACCTTCTGGCCTGTGTGAACTGTCCAGTCTCTGAGTCATAGTCTCTGCCTTGGGGGCATGCAACCCCCCCCCCCCAGCAGGGTGCTTGTGGGACTCTAGAGATAGTGCAGGCAGAGCCCGAGGGCCTAAAATCAGCACAACCTCCGCGCTCAGCAGCATGGCAGCAACTGCCGGCGGGCCGGTGTCCGCACCCTGGCCGGCGAGTCCCTTGCTGGCCTGCCCTTGGACAGCTGCTGCTGTGCTCAAGCTGTCCCCCGCAGCCCCTCACGTGAAGCTGGAGGGTTTGACTCCGCATGTCCACGGGGCAGCGTCCCGCGCCGTAGCTCCGGTGAGCGGGCCACGGTCAGGTCCCTCTACCTGGGGCCGGTGAACAGAGCCGGCCAGCAACCCGCCAGGAGGCCGCTGCGGCTGCAGCCCAGCCAGCTCTGTGCCACCGGCACGCGGCGCCGTCAAGGTGCCTGGAAACAGCCGCTGGGCGTCTGCGCCTTGGCGCGGCCAGGGGCCGCCTCTCGGGCTGCACTTTGCCGTGATGGGAGAGTTTCACGGCAACGTATACCTGCTTCGCTGGCATAGAAAATGCCCAGCTCCGAGTGCCGAGCAGGCCCGGTGGTCAGGGCTCGGGACCCTTCAGGGGCCACAGCCATGGCCAGGAAGGAGAGTCCTCGTGCCGATGTGCCCAGCGCTCGGCGTCTGGGCCCAGGGCTGGGGAAGCCCTCAGGCGGGCCAGTGCCATCTCCTGGCACGGGGGAGGGCCCGGAGATGCCACGCAGCCTGGCTGGCGCCAGGCCCAGCCTCCCTCTCCTGGCTGAGCAGCCTGCCAAGAAAGCGGCTGAACTACACAGAAACCCATCCTGGCGCTCCCAGCGGCGTCCTCACACTGGAGCGTGGTCTCTAAATCAGAATGTGAAAAAAAGAAAAGGCGGCGTTGCCTGTAAGTTGATCTCAGGTTAGCGGGGCTGGTGGCCGGAACAGGCGGCACTGCCAGGCGAGGTCCCGAGAGGCTGGCAGCGGGCACCCCAGGCCCAGCGGGGAGCAGCCCGTGTTCCCATGGAAACTCTGCCTTGCAGAATCCTCTGGAAATCGTTGCTGAGGAGGAACCACCGCTTCCCACACCCACTTTGCCTCCCTGGGTTGGGTTTCCAGGGCTGGAAGGGAGGGTGGGAGGCGCGGCTGGAGGGGCAGGACGGCAGGCCTGGCCGGGTTCTGCCCTGCAGAGGCCCACGGCTGGCGGGAGGAACTGGAGTGGCGCGGAGCTCAGAGACTCTCCCGAGGGCTATGAGGCCGTGACCGGGCCCGGCCGCCTGGGACTGGGAATCCCTGCTCAGAGCAGGGCAGGCGGGCCGGGGCCTCGCAGGGAGGGGACTGGCGAGGCCAGGCCTGAGGCTTTCCTACCAGCCCTAGGCCGGGTCTGCCCTCCGGAGGGCCAGGCTGATGCGGAGAAGTTTGGGGGCGCCAAACCCCTCCCATCCGTTTATAGGCAGCCGCCTGGGACCAACTCCTGGGAGCTGGGGCCAGTGCGCAGCCGGGGGAGAGGGCTCTGGGCTCTTGCCTCTCTGGCTTTGACTTCTGCGCCAGGGACTTGAGGGACAAGAGAGGAGAAGCTTGGCAGACGCGGTGCCGGGGAGGCCGACCTGGGCAGACACGGCAGCCATTATCGTGACTTGACTTGATTTTGCTCTTGTCACCCCAGAACTGCCCGGCCCCTTTCTTGCTGTTCCACCAGGAGGCGCCTTAGGCTTGTGGTGAGCGTCAGGGCCTCGGGGCCCGTTTCCGGCCAGCCCCGCCTGGCTGGGCACTTGCCAGCGAAGGAGTGGAAAGCTGGTGCTTTATTGGAAAACTTTTATTGGGAACATCCTTTCTCCTCCACACTATTTCCATTAAAGACCCATCACACGATGGGTTGCTTTGTCTTTATGTGATGGGCGGCAGGACCCCATTTTGACGCCTCTAAGTGTTAAGAGCGTTAACATTTGGGGCTAATGCAGCCGTGGGCATCCTTGGTCACGCACTGACAGCTTATGGGGCAGGGCAGCCCTGGGAGAGAGGCGGCCTCAGAGGCGAGGCCAGGGGCTGGCCCAGATCCTGACCACTGGGGTCCTGGGCACAGGACAGACAAAGACGGGGCCAGGCCAGGCCGGTGGGCGGCGCTCCAGGCTTCGGGACTGGACTGGGTAGGCCACACTGGGTGGGGGCAGTTTGCCAGCAGGGGATGCACCGAGCTGGGAGGCAATCTGGCCTCCTTGTGGGGAGGGGAGAGCCTCAGGTTTGGGGGGGCGGGGCCCTCCCCACCCCAGAGCCCCACCCCGCCCCACCAGTCCTTGGTCTCCAGCCTCTGCCTGCCGCCCACCCAGCCCCCTCTCACGGCAGAGGCCTCCTGCCTTCCCTCCACCCGGGCAGTGGGGAAGGGGGGGCATAGCCGCTCCTCCGGTCACCCCCTCCCCGCGAGGAGGAAGGGCCCCTTGCAGCGGGCACGGCTTGGACCAAGGCCAGGCGACCTGAGGCGCGGGGGTCCCTGGGCGCAGGGCAGAGCCGGCAGGAGGGTGAGCACGTGGGGGGACTGACGGGGCCCCCCGGGGCTCACGCCTGGTACAGGTCAAGGCCGAGGCGGAGGCAGGCAGCGCTGGGGCTAGAGATTCTCATAGACCAGGTTAAATTCACCGTCATCCTCAAATCTGCGCAGTTTCTCCTGGGAGGAAAAAACAAAGAAAACAATGGGGGGGGGAGTGGGGTGCGCTCGCCCGCCCTCAGCTGCGCAGCCCCAGCCCTCCCCTTTCTGTCTGGGTTCCCAGACTGGGTCCCACTCATCTTGTAGGGGTGGGCTCAGCAGCTCCAGCGCCCCAACACAGCCCGTGAACCTACCCCTCAGGGGGCCACAGAGGCCAGTTTGCTGGGCTGAGACCTGTTGCCCCACCTGAGGCTGCCAGAGGGCAAAGGCCCGCCTCTGGCTCCTGGTCAGTGCCCAGGGCTGACGGTGGGGACCCAGGCGGGGGAGCCGCCTTCCGGTCCAGGCCGCTGCAGGGCTGGGTCTAGGAAGGGCCTTGAGCAGAGGAGACTCAACACCCAGCAGGAGCTGGGCTGGGGCGAGCGAGCGACAAGCAGCCCTGATGCCCCGCGGCTGTCCCCGGGCCCAGGGGCCTTGGGGCACCACCAGGTCCCAGGTTTCCCTGGACTAGACGAGCAAACTGAGGCTAGGAGAGAATGGCGCCCCACAGCGCCTGGCGCCCCCCGCGAACACAGCCCTGAGCCACAGCCGCAGGCTGAGACCCCGAGCCCCGCCGGCCCGGCCGTCAGGCGCCTCGCCCGGCTCGGCGGCCGGTGTCCACCAGAGGCAGTGACCGCGCACGCTGAGTGGGCTCCCGGCTCCCAGCACAGCACGTCTGCGGGGAGGACGCCCGGCCCGGGCTCGCTCCCGACACCCCTGTACCTGGGAGTGCGGGGTCTGGAGGGGGGACGGGCTGCTGGCCTCGCTCTGGATGCAGGAGTAGACCTCAGTGTCTCGGCGCTGCAGGGCCTGCAGGGGTGGGCACACAGTCCTGGCACCGCGTCTCCAGCCTTGCCGCCCGCACCTCGCCCCACCTGCCCGCCGAGGGTGAGTCCTCCCGTGCTCCGGCCACCTCCGCCCTTCAGTCTGGCGCCAGCCGATGGCCACGCTCCCCCGGGACGCCTCCTGGCGCCTGCCCTCCCTCCCCTGCCCCAGCGAGGGCCCTGCCTGCCCCCCCCACCGCCCCCGGGCCCCACCCCGCTGCGCTCACGGAGGTGGAGGCGCCTCCTGCGCCTCCTGCAGACCCCCCTCCTTCGAGCCAGGCCTAGTCTGCTGCCGGGTCCCGAAGCCCCACGGGCAGAAGAGCGCCCCACAAGCTGGGTCCTGGGGCCACACCACCCTTGGTCCAGCGTGAGCCCCTTCCCTCGGGCCTCGCGAAGGGAGAAATCAGACCAGGCTGGACTGGCCCCTCAGCGCCGACCCGCGGCAGCCGCTGGGGCTCGGTTTCCTCATCTGCGACCTGGGGCCTGTGTGTCTAGCACTGGCTTGAAGACTCGGGCAGACGGGTCGGCGCAGGACCGGCGAGGAAGGGCGCTCAGTAGCTGCTGGTGACGGGCAGGAGGCACGAGCCCCCGTGGCCACAGCCTGGCCCTCCCAGCCCGCTGGGCCCGGGGCCCCCACGCCAGGGCCACCTGCAGCTCGTGGGGCGCGGAGCCGGCCTGAGCAGGCGCCCTCCTCCCCAGCACGCACGTCACATGGATGCCGGCTGGTTGCCAGGGAGGTGGTTTCCCTGGCAACAGGCAAGCAGGGCTGCGAGGCAAACAGGAGAGGCAGGTGGTGCTCTGAAGCCTGACAGGGAGGCGCGGCGGGAGGAGGCAGGGAGGCGCCGGAGCAGCGGGCCATGAAGACCCGTAACAACCCATTTGGTGCTTGGGAGCCCCTCACTTCAAGGGCACGGCGCCCAGGGATGGCCAGGCAGCCCCGGACTCTCAAGGGCTTCTGGGTCCGACGGCAGGTCGTGGCCGGGGGCCTCACACCCGCCTCCCCCAGGAGGATCCCCCTCTCCAGTGGGAGGAAACTTCGAGCCTTGTTCCGACTGGGAATTTCTGGGCCTGGCCACCGGACAGTCCAGCTCTCAAATGGACAGCTGTACCCCTGAGGCCCCTACCCTCTTCCGCTATCCTGGGCCCGCAGATCTGACACCCCTCAGGGAGGGACACACAGAAAAGGCGGGAACAGGCCCTCCTCATGGGTCTCAGCCGGAGGCAGAGCTCAGCCCCGCGGGTAGTTCCCTGCCCGTGTCCAGCTGGCACCAGCTGCCCGCACGCCTCCGCCCAGAGAGGCCCAGAGACGCCCGAGGGCGCGCAGCCCGCAGGGGGAGCCCAGGCGGCGCAGGCTGCGCCCGGCGGTGGGATCCTGCCGGCGGAGCCCGCGGCCAGGGCTGTCCTGGCCCAGAGGGCGCCAAGGGGCACCCGGCTGGCCTCTGACCCACGCATGGCTCTGCTGTGGCAGTGCAGGAGCAGCTGCGGGCTGAGCGGGGGGAGGCTGCAGGTTGCCCTGATTAGCAGCTGCCCGAGCCTTTGACAAGTGCTGACCGCTGGGCCACATTTGCATTCAGGGTGTGAAACGCAGGGCAGGGCCTTGTCAACAGGCTGCAGCCAGAACTCCCTGGCCTGCTGGGCGGCGGGGGGCGGCCTCCCTTGGGAAGGCCCTCTGGGAAGACTGTCCCGGCCTCCGAATGGGCACGGCTGGCGGCTGGCGGGGCTGGGATCCAGGTGTGCAGATCTGGGCTGTGCAGAGCTGAGCCGGGCTGAGCTGGGCTGAGCCAGATTGAACCGGGCTG